GTTACCTCTGATCAGTGTTGTATAAAGTACTGAAATCTCAGAGTCAAGTAAAAGTATAGGTACTTCTCCAAAATATGACATTGGGAAAAGTCCAAGTCACTGATGGAAATGTTACTTGAGTTTAAGTCTTATAGTATTTGAAATGTCTTGTACTTAAGTATTAAAAGTACAATGAAAATTGATGTACTCAAGTAATGTAATGAAAAGGAGAGATTTAGACCAAGTTTAGACAGAAAATACAACCTTTTTCTAAGCCTTCAGTTTTCCTTTTTCAAGCAAGGTCAGTGCTATACACTTTAGAATTGTACACAACCAAGTGCAGGCAAAGTTAAACCAGGGGGTGTATACTAAGAACATGGTTGAGTGATAAACCAGGCTGAGTTAACCTACAGGAAGTGGTAAACCTGCTATTAGATACAGCTGCAGGTGTCATTTAGTTAGGAATATTAGGACTCCTGGCTCTGCTATTAGATGCTTTACCACAGGGTTAACTTAACCAGCTTTACTACTGAACCAGCTTCTTAGTATAGCCCCAGGTTTAGACACAAAATACATAGTTTTTATAAGCCTTCACTTTTTCCCTCAGGTACATTACACCACTTGGAGAAAAACGAAACAAAAAAGGTTGCTGCTGTTATTGCCATCATTACAAAAAAAAGAAACCAGAAGCTTATCTGGCATCTGAAGAGGGAGTCCAGTTTGAAACCTATTTTTGAACAGGGAGGGAACTGCAGCTTATTTGGCATCTGAAGAGGGAGACCTTTTCTGTAAAACTACCTTAAAACATTTTTAAAAAGGCGGTTCTGAAATGAGGCGTACATCAGGCCAGTAAAGAAGATGCTGCTGTTGTTGCACTTCAGTCCCACCAAAATCTGATTGGTTAAAGCAACAGTTTAATCGACATGTATTTTCTGTTAGGGGGTCCGCAGAACGGATTGTGAAGGCCTCCTGGCAGACATCTTTGACTTTGAACCTGCCTAGCAACAAATGATGGCTGAAATGTGATTGGTTAAATGCTTTAATATGAAAATACATGTCTGGAAGCAGCACAACCAGGAGAAAAGATATGAAGGGAAGCGGACAGACCACTTAGAGATACTCATGGAGTACTCATGGACAAAATATAATTAACATCAGTCTGTGATTCAGATATTGTCTTAAGCCAGCAGAGAAGGCCTTGCAGGCCCTGACGGCCCACCACTGTTCAAATCCCTGTTATCCATCCTGAAAAGAAAAATACAACAAAAAGCGCCTCCCCACAGGCTAAGCTGAGGGGGAAGGATGAAACACACCAAAAAACAATGTAATTTGCTTATAATTCTTAATAAAAAATCCAATAATAATAATAAACAGAGATTAGCTAAAGGTTCTCACTCTATTGCTGTAACACAGCTGCAGCAATCAAATGATGCATTCAGGGTATTTCTGAAACCAGACGCACACAGGCTGGTGTGGCTGCAAGCTGTACAGTACCTCGCACGCGTGCTATTTAGACCTGAGCAACACAGCCAAAGTCTGCTGCTGGCTCCAAAATAAATGCTGGACCCTGAGTGGGGGACTGGTCATAACTTGGCTTTTCTGAATAAAGCAATGATAATCCACAGCAAATAAGGGGAGCCGCAAAATACAATTTCACAGTAAAAACTGGGGTGTTGGTATGTCAGAGTAAATCTATTAGAACCTGGAT